TCTCTCTCCCTCTTTCTCCCTCTCTCTCTCTCTCCCTCTCCCTTTCTCTCTATCTATGTCTCTCTGTGGTTGCAAGACACGTGTCATATGATGCCCTTTACCAAGCAGCACAGCGCATATGCATGGGTTGTCACATGTATCCTCTTCTGAATCAATCTTGCTTTTCACAACTTATCCCTCCATAGCTCATTTAAAAAAATCACCAACCATTCACCGACAATTTTTTACGACTACCATACTCAGAGCTGCTTGAAAAACGTCTTTTTCGCTCTCGGGCCAACCGTCGTCTAGTTTTTTTCCAACATTTTATTTTTGCACTTAGAACGTGGCACGAAATCAACACTTAGAACGTAGGCAAAATTTCATCACTTAGAACGTAAAACCAACACTTAGAAAGCTGCAAGTATTTGTCCGTCGCTATAATTATGAATAGTCAACATATGATATGTATATATATATATACATACATTATAAATATATATTATATTTTTTTTAAAAACAAAACCTTTATTATAAGGGTGGTATTTATCATTAGGGAACCAAAGCGGACCCTAAAAATAAATTGAAACCCTTAATTTTTTTATTTTTTTGGATTTCAAAATCAATTAAAATTCCTTTTATAACGCACTTAAAAAATATTGCCCAAAATTGGATTTCGAAGCGGAGCCTAATAATAAATTTAAACCCCTAATTTTTTAAAAAATAGTTTTTTCGATTCCAAATCAATTAAATTTCCTTCTATAACGCAATTAAAATATTGCCAAAAATTAGATTTCGAAACGGACCCTAACAAATTAAAACGATTAATTGATATTAATTGCAAAAGCCATTTTTTCGATTTCAACATCAGTTAAATTTCCTTATGTAACGCAATTAAAATATTGCCAAAAATTTAATTTCGATGCGGACCTAAATAATAAATTAAAATACTTAATTTTTAAAAAAAAACTAGTTTTTTCGATTTCAAAATCAATTAAATTCCCTTATATAACGCAAGTAAAATATTGCCAAAAATTAGATTTCGAAGCGGACCCTAATAATAAATTTAAACCCTTAATAAGAAAAACTATTTTTTCGATTTCAAAATCAATTAATTTTCCTGATGTAACGCAAGTAAACTATTGCCAAAAATTAGATTTCGAAGCGGGCCCTAATAATAAATTTAAACCCCTAAAATAAAAAACTATTTTGTTCGCTTTCGAAATCAATTAAATTTCCTTGTGTAACGCAATTGAAATATTGCCAAAAATTGGAATCGAAATTATGTCTATGTTTTTTTCCCAACACCTTTTTCGTCTCAGCGGCCCTGCAACCTAACGCAGCGGCATCAAACTCGGCCCTGCCGGCTCAGTCCAGCTGATGGTGTCCGCGAAGGTGGGTTCCGTCTCGCACGGAAGAGGCGGCGCGACCCAGAGGCTACCTAGCAAGGTGCTCGCCAGGGCCCGTTGCTGGGCGCAGCTCAGGATCGCCCACCAGCGGCGCCGCCGGAGAAAGCTGTGGCATTCCGAACGCCATCGCCCCCCAGTCTCACAGGCCAGGACAATGAGCCGGTGTGGGCCAGGTTGTAGCAGCCCCGGATAGCGCGCGTGCTTGCGGTGGCGCGCCGTGGTGAGCGCGGCGCCGTCGGTGTCGGCAGCCCGCGAGCAGGGGCGGCCTGCCCGCGTAAGCGGCGCCACCATGGTGACGTCGACGCACAAAGCTTGGCCCAGGGGGAGGCGCCGTAGACGACGAGGTCAAGTCGGCGCCGGTCTGCCACCGAAACCCCCTGCGCGGACCGTCCGGTCCGACGCTTCGCGGCAGACTTGGATCCACGCCTGTTCTAAGAGGTGACCTCGGCGAGGGAGGGCGCCTGTTCTGGGGCAGGCTGCCATATGGTCACCGTAGGCGTCGAGTCTCCCGCCGCATCCTCGTGTTCCCGCATCTTGGTCACACCGTGCGCCCGTGAGGGGGAGGCGCAGCCGGAGCCTGCGGCGGAGGGCGAGGATGAAGTGTTGCGTCGTGAAGGTGGTGTTGGCATCGGACGGGATGGCCCGAAGCCAAGCGCCTGCCCCAGGCCCTGCCTGGGAGCGGAGCATTGCTTTGGCTGCCGAAGGAAGGGAGGGCACCACAGATTGCTCTCGGAAGGAAGTGGTAACTGCGAGAGTTGCTGGGTGTTGCCAACCATGGCGCCAAATGCCAGGTTCTGATTCTTCGAGGCCGCTCGGCGGGTCGAGGTGCCGCTCTTGAAATTGTTCCCATGTTGGGCGCGAGGACCAGGTTTGGCCCAGGGTGGTGCTGGCCTCCCGCAGCCTACGGAATTAGCTGCTGAATCCAACACTGAGAACGTCAGAACCCGAGAACCCCCAAAAAGCACCAAAAAATAGTGTTCCAGAGATAAAAGATCGCCAATATTTGCAAATCATATGGGACGGAAAAGCCAAATGGTACGAAATGGTGTCTATGTTTCCTACGGTCCTACGGCATTAGCTGCTGAATGCAACACTTAGAAAGTCAGAACCCCCAAAAAGCACCAAAAGGTATAGCGTTCCAGAGAAAAAAATCGCCAATATTTGCAAATCATATGGAAGGAAAAAGCCAAATGGTACGAAATTATGTCTATGTTTCCTACGGCATTAGCTGCTGAATCCAACACCTAGAACGTCAGAACCCCCAAAAAGCAACAAAAGGTATACTGTTCCAGAGATAAAAGGTCGCCAATATTTGCAAATCATATGGGAGGGAAAAGCCAAATGGTACGAAATGGTGTCTATGTTTCCGACGGCATTAGCTGCTGAATCCAACACTTAGAACGTCAGAACGCCCAAAAAGCACCAAAAGGTATAGTGTTCCAGAGATAAAAGATCGCACATATTTGCAAATCATATGGGAGGGAAAAGACAGATGGAACGAAATTATGTCTATGTTTCCTACGTCCTACGGAATTAGCTGCTGAATCCAACACTTAGAACGTCAGAACCACCAAAAAGCACCAAAAGGTATAGTGTTCCAGAAATAAAAGGTCGCCAATATTTGCAAATCATATGGGAGGGAAAAGCCAAATTATAAATGGCACGAAATTATGTCTATGTTTCCTACGTCCTACGGAATTAGCTGCTGAATCCAACACTTAGAACGTCAGAACCCCCAAAAAGCATCAAAAAATATAGTGTTCCAGAGATAAAAGATCGCCAATATTTGCAAATCATATGGGAGGGAAAAGCCAAATGGCACGAAATTATGTCTATGTTTCCTACGGAATTAGCTGCTGAATCCAACACTTAGAACGTCAGAACACCCAAAAAGCACCAAAAGGTATAGTGTTCCAGAGATAAAAGATCGCCAATATTTTGCAAATCATATGGGAGGAAAAAGCCAAATGGTACGAAATTATGTCTATGTTTCCTACGGAATTAGCTTAGCTGCTGAATCCAACACTTAGAACGTCAGAGCCCCCAAAAAGCACCAAAACGTATAGTGTTCCAGAGATAAAAGGTCGCCAATATTTGCAAATCATATGGGAGGGAAAAGCCAAATGGTACGAAATGGTGTCTATGTTTCCGACGGCATTAGCTGCTGAATCCAACACTTAGAACGTCAGAACGCCCAAAAAGCACCAAAAGGTATAGTGATCCAGAGATAAAAGATCGCCAATATTTGCAAATCATATGGGAGGGAAAAGCCAAATGGCACGAAATTATGTCTATGTTTCCTACGGCATTAGCTGATGAATCCAACACTTAGAACGTCAAAAACCCAAAAAGCACCAAAAGGTATAGCGTTCCAGAGATCAAAGATCGCTAATATTTGCAAATCATATGGAGGGGAAAAGCCAAATGGTATGAAATTATGTCTATGTTCCTACGGTCCTATGGCATTAGCTGCTGAATCCGACACTTAGATCGTCAGAACCCCCAAAAAGCACCAAAAAATAGTGTTCCAGAGATAAAAGATCGCCAATATTTGCAAATCATATGGGACGGAAAAGCCAAATGGTACGAAATGGTGTCTATGTTTCCTACGGAATTTGCTGCTGAATCCAACACTTAGAGATAAAAAGATTTCACAAGCCTTTCCACTATCATCATTGACCTAGACACGTTCTAAGTGTTAAATTCCCCGCTACGTTCTAAGTGATAAATCTTGATATTTGGACGTTCTAAGTGTACGGCTTAGAACGTAGACGATTCATCACTTAGAACGTCCAAAAAGCATTAAAAATCCAGGATGTTATTTCCAAAATACGTTCTAAGTGTATGTCCGTCACTATAGATAGATAGACAGATAGATAGATCGGTAGGTAGGTAGGTAAATAATCAGAGAAAGAGAGAGAGAGAGAGAGAAAGAGAGCAAAAGAGAGAGAGAAAGAGTGGGAGAGATCAATCACCTTTCAGTCCATCAGTGGCTTCGCTCTGCCATCCCTGATTCACAACAACCAACCTCTCCTATAGGTTTCCTATTTTTGAAACTTCCGCCACCGCCTTGTGCGGTACTACTGGTACATTGATGGTGGTTTACCTTTCTACCCATATCTTTGTAGAGGGCAACCAAAAACGGGGTCCCATATATATATATATATATATATTCATTTTCCAGTTCAAACATCACGTGAAATAAAATTGTCAAGGTTCCATGTATCCAACATATTTTTCTGGGATCTTCAAATCTACCCATAGACATTGAGCTTCACAAATAAAGGTCCCAAAGGATATCATCCATGATGATCCATCTATAAGCGTGTGCTCGTGTGTGCGTATATATATATTTTTTTTACGTACGTACGTACGTAGGTATGTATGGATGGATGGATGGATGGATGCATGCAAGTAAGGAAGTAAGGAAGTAAGGAAGTAAGGAAGTAAGGAAGTAAGGAAGTAAGTAATGCAATTAATTCATGAATGTATGTCTGTCTGCCTGTCTGTCTGTCTGTCTGTGTGTGAGTCATTATGTATGTATGTGTGTGTGAATCACCGCAAGAATCATCATAAATGATGCCATCCATTCCATGCCCAGGTCCCAGTGACAACAAACTCTGCATCGTTCCCACCGTGGTCAGCTGCTCCAGCCCCTGCTCCGACGAGGAGATCCGCTCCGCTGCCTTGGCGCAGGAGTGGCAGATCTCGCGGTCGCTGGCATGCCTTGGTGCCACGTTGAGGGCCAAGGGGTGGCCCACAAGGGGTGGCCCAAGGGTTCGGGTGGGACATCAGGAGTTACAGCACTGAATCCTACCATGGAAGCTGGAAATGTCTCTCTCTCTCTCTCACTCTCTCTCTCTCTCTCACTCTCTCTCTCTCTCTGTCTCTCTCTGTCTCTCTCTCTCTCTCTCTCTCTCCCTAGTGGGAAGATAGTCTTGAAAAGATTTCACAAAATAATGACTACAAACCAAACCGCCATTCAACCATTGGCTGACTCCAGGAATGCCAGCCCCAAGAACAACCGGTAGGAACAGCGTCACCCATCAATTCTGGGTCGTTTTTGACCAAGCATTGAACCCTCATGGATTTTCAATGTCTCCATGACTTTGCATCGCCATGTTTGTTTGACAGGGGCCATCAATAAAGTACACGGCAGGGTTGCAAACCTAGCACCCTGTACCTGAGAAGTCTGAGACTCGAGCGGTTCTTTTGGCAAGACTGAAACTGAGAAACGTTCGAAATCGTTCCAACATGTTCGAGCCCTATTGGGAGTCCCATGGCCCGTGCGTTGTGATTTTGGCAAAGCTGCTGCTCCAACATGGTCGACACTTCGCCAGCCCTGGATCCATCTCCTGCGTGTTTTTTTCTTTTGTGATATTTTGATGGTCTTTCGTTTAGTGAGAAGTGGCAGTGGCTGTGGGTCAAAACCTGGTGCCATGGTGAACTGAAATAGTGGGCAAATGGATGTGCATTCTCTCCAAACTAATTGTTTTCAGAACATTTCATAATATTGTGTATATTACATATATATAAAGATAAACACTATATATATATATATATTAAAATTATATATATATATATATTAAAATTATATATATTATATATATATATAAAGTATAGCGGTTTTGACCCATCCCAAACTTCAAACTGCCACAAAAAGGGTGGCAAATCGCGCCTGCAGAGATCGCATCAAGTATCTGAAGGGCGTTAATCCTCCCCCTGAGCCGTACAAAACGCTTCATCGAACTGGCGAAAAGGTGCGCTTGGATCGAACTACCTTCACTATTTCAAAGTTGATGTTTGATGTTTAATGATTTAATGTTGTTTCATTCAACTAATTTTTGCTGAAATGGCATCAACTCTTGCAGTCGTGTCGCTGGTCAACCTTGGGTGACTCTCTGGGTCGCTTCTCCTCACGTGGTTTTTCTTTGATCTCCTTCTGCTGTGGAGGTTCTTGGTGGTAAATCTCGCAGCAGTCCACCATGGGGGTTTCAGAGCTGCAAATAGGGGGACTGGAGCCAAGCAATGCGGCAAGATGCGGCAAGGGGCAAAAGGTATGTGATGATCTTGGTATGGGACAATATGCTTCTGGAAGGATATGAATTATATCATTACCACTCATTCAGCCAAACATATGTGTGTGATATCATGTGATCAACAATTTCACCAACTGATTCCACCAGCATCAAGCAATTCATATGTATATACAATATTATACAATATGTCAACATATATCAAACTTCAGCCGTTTCTGCTATGACATGCTATGACCTCCAAGTGCTCCAAGATGCTCCACGTCACTCTCAGTGGCCTGACCGTGGACTGTGGATAGTTGCGGCACCTACATTGCTGGATATTACTGGTTTGCCATGCTTTGCCACTTCAGAAAAGTAACGAAGAATCTCATTCGAAGCTCAAGAATATCTCAAAGATTGTCAACATGACATTGCTTCCTAGTCTTTTCCGATCTTTTCCAAAAAGTGCAACGAAATTGTGATGAGATGGCACTCTTGTCCTGCTGAGTTGTACCCTCTACATCCCTCTACCATGTTTGCAGAAAATCCAACAGTGTGGCAAATGTGCATCAGCTACGCAACATCATGCAGCCCACCATGTATTGTACTAGTGAATAATAGTCATTCACCATTCCGCGCGTTGCTTCCTTTTTTGAGCACTTTTGACGGCGCGCAAACGACCGCGATGGAGCTGTTTCCATCTGGTCCTGGGTGGTTGTGGGTGGTCCTGGCTGCATCGTGGTGGCTCAATGGTCGTGGCCCCTGCTGCCCTCCCAGTGCCTGCTGTTGTGGTCGTGGCATTCTGTGGCAGGAGATGATCGTCACTGTCTGTCACTTCAGCCGGGGACGCTTGGATTGCGCAGGCCATTCCAGGACCAAAGCCATGCTTTCCTGCCGGGAGAACAACAATGTTTCAGCCGGGCAGAGAGAATATAAGAATATCAAGTCGTATTAAGTCTCATCGTTCTGATCTAGCCAGCTTTTCCATGAGAAATTACACTGCTTGGGAAATGTTGGAAAGGTTTCCTACAACAGGCGCGCTATGCTGATGCCATGGTGGCAGCATCTTCTACGAGTACCTCCTCCGGGAAATTCTCGGTCGAGCGCAACTGCTTCTCTGCTCGTTGGCGAAATCCTTCAAGGGCTGAATCGTGAGCTTCAAGACCTAACCAAGGCCCAAATGGATCAAATGGCCCACTAAAATCCTTTCAATATCACTTAATGCCACGAAATGCCCTGGTTGAACGAGCATCTTTCTGTCTCTTCAAGTGTTCGTGGCTAGAATTCGGGGTATGTTGGAAGATATCTGAGTCATCTGAGCGCCTGACATGGCTTTCCATCTGCACCACGGTAGACAGCACGGCGAATCTGGTGTCCCAAAATGCCAGTGCCAGCGCCAGCAACACGGAATGCCTCAAAGAGGGGACTGGACAACCTCAGAATGTGAAAGGCAGTGCTAAAGGAATTTTCAGCTAGGCCTGGAGGAGCACACACATTCCCCAAACAAAACAGCGCCACAAATTATCACAATCATTCACAATCGATGTTCGAATCTGTTCGAATCAGGCACTGATCCAGGAATAAGACATCAGCTGCCAAGACAGAATCAAAGCACCCTTGACGCCATGGAGAGCTTCCTGGAGGGAACTTGTTGGGCGTAGAACCATCGAAGAGGAAAGGTGAATGACAGTGTTATCCTCCGGTCTCACAGTGTCTTCACACTACATGTGCACATTCCACCCAAAAAAACAGCTAAGTTCCACAAATCCTGTTGGAAACTGAAAATGCCGAAGCTTTACACTGGCTTGGTGGAGAATACTCAAATCCTTGATGAAGACTCAGGGATACTCAGAGTCAAGACTGCAGATTTGAGACAGCAATTTTCTTGCAGAGTTTTGGACCGCTTATAGCAGGATCAAGTCATTCCATGAAAAGAACAACTCCCAAACCCCACAAACTTCCATGACCTTGCAGTTTGTTTGGTGACTAGTTGCAACCTATATCAATCTCAGCAAAATCAAATTTAGGCCTTTCACAAAGTCGTACGCTACGACATCGAGCTTCACCCCAGCATTGGCTTCTGCTGTTTGCTTTGCCAGCTGCAGTACTGGTAGCTCCTCTCGCAAGAAACGCGGATCAAGATCAACAAAATCCATGTTCACCAGACTCGTGGCCCCTTGCCGACTGATTCTCTCTAGGGGCTTTCGGCACAGACTTTGGGCTGCAGGTCTTCTCACTTGACTCACACATCTGACACATTTCAAGACATTTCAATCCACACATTTCCAACAGGTTCAAATGATCTTCAGTTTCCTTTGAGTGCTGTTGCCTTGAAACATCTTGAAACCAGTTCAAACCGCAGGAAACCGCCATCTCTGTGAATACCATTGCCTTCCCATCCCCATCCCAGCTACTCCTTGTCGGTCATCACCACGAAGCTCTTCCGCTCTCGAGACATGGCCGTGCCCAAAGCGCCCAAGCCACAGCCGAGCTCCAAGACCAATCTGTCACCATGACATCAGCCCCAGGGGGTCATAGGGGGTCAACTGTTGAAGAATCCATTTTTACTATTGAATACTATTGAGTTACTATTGCCTGATTGGAATGGCGGAGGTTCAGAAGTGTCTCCCCAGATGATTTCCGTACTTGACATGAAAGCGGCGATTTGCCTGGCCCATCCTCCCATCTATGGTCAAAGCCACCTGGTTTCAACAGACCCCAGCTGTCGGAAAGCTCGTGCTGCCGCCCGAGTGGCTGGCAGCCATGCCTGGAACCCTGTCACATCCTCGCCGCTGACCCAGCTCTGATTCTGGACCAACCAAAGGATACCAAAGGATCTAAACGGCCGCAAACAGGACATAACAGGACATGAATGAACGTTGACCAGCACCTACAAAATTTTGGACATGGCATGGTGCCGTCAACCATCTTCCCTCTCTGCAAATGTCTGAAAGAGGCTTCAAGACGGGCTGCCAGTTTCTAAAAACATTTCATAGATAGTAGCAAACGGTACATTGGAAAATTCTGATTGCTTTTCAGAATGTCGGAACAACTTGCAGTCCACCAAGGGCTGTCCTACCTTTCGTCTCAAAACCATCAATTCTTTCAATACCTCTTGCAGGATGCCTTCCCAAACCACCCCTCCTCGCATCCTAAGCCCAAGGTTTCCGGGACTCTTGCAAGCCTGGAGCAGGGGTGAGATGTCGTTTTGGGACAGGGGGGTTCTGAAAATACAGCAAAGCAAGCCCAGCTAGCCAGGCCATGTGGCCATGGCCAATCAAAACAGCCAATGGCAGGATTGACAAACCATCTGACTCAACTTCATGGCGCGAGACCGCGACCAGAGCTCCAGCTGCCTCACTGAAAGCCCATCAACATCCACGCTCTCAGTATCACCAGACATCACATCATCTGCTTCCGCATGCGATTCTCTACAAATGGCAATTGTTTGCCGGTGGCCGTATGTTCGACCCCACTTGAGCAATACCCCTGCTTCAGTTTCACACATCACATGCATGGTTTGAATGAGCTTTGGATGAGGACCTACATAATGCCATAGATGCATGAGCACAACAGGAATCACAACTCGGCTTCCAAAGCCATTACCAGCTCCTTATGAGCGCTTGGGACTGACAAAGCCGATTATAATATGGCGAGTTTTGGCATCTATGCATACAATGACATGTGCATACATCATCATACGTACATTGTACATCACCTAGTAGGCCAGTTTCAGACTCAGAGGCTTTTTCCATCTCATTCCCACGGCTGTGCAATCTCAGGAAGGAAATCATGAAAGATCATGAAAGATTGGAGGTGGGCCCCTTCAGGCTCGCCGAAAATGGGCTTTGGCCGTCTTCCACAGCTGCGACTTCTCCTCTGGGGAGAGCTCGCTGTAGCCCTTGATTGCCTGTGGCTTCATAGCTTTCTCTTTGAGAAAGTCAGCCAAAGCTGAATGTGAATGCTTCAATTTAAAGAAAATGCCAGTGTATTCTCTGGCCAGTTCCAAGCGAGCTTCACCTTTTTCCATGGTGTCACCGGAAAGCTTGCACTTTCCTTTGCCTTTGCAGCGATCAAACTTGAAGCACTCGGACATACATTTCATGTGCAACCAAGCGGTGACTGTGCGACCTCCCATCCAGCAATCTACTCCAGCTCGAAGTTCATCAAAGCTGATCTTCTTTTGGCATTTCTTGCACGAAGACTTGTCGCTTTTGGCCTTTTCCACTTTCACCTTTTTCACCATGGCTGCAACAGCTGGGAGCGACTGACTGGGGGTTTGAAAACTGGGAGCCCAGGCGGCTTGACCCAAAAGCCAAGAGCTCGAGTTGAAACATGTTGAAACTGATCAACTGGGCATCTGCTCTGGATTGCATTCCAAGACTTGGGGACTCCACGACCCTACCCTTGCGATCCCTTACGTGGCTATTGGTGTCCCTACTGGCAAGCAAAACGTCCGGCTGATTGGACGGACTAGTATATAGAGGTATATAGATTGATTTGGGGAATTCCCTGGGCTCCCAACAAGCCTCCATAGACTGGCCCTTTGTCATCAATTATTGACCTGACAAGTTGCTAGTTGTACTGGTGAATTAGAGGCAAAGCAATCCCTTCTTGACATAACAAACTGAGCTAGGCCAACATGCAAAGTGGTGATGGCTAGCGTATGAGAAGAACTGCTGCTGGATGACAGCATCTCGGAATCACGACTGCATATCTGCACCTGGCATCGACTTGGGAAGGCCTGGCAAGTTTCCTGATGTCAGGAAACTAACTGTTTGATTTGAACCGCAGAGCCGGTGGAACGGGAAACTTCTGAATGAAACTTCTTCACAGTGCAATTTATGGAGTGCAATTATTGGCATGGAAAAACTTTGACAAGGTGCTGACGAAGTGTCAACAAAGAGATCAATAGGCTACTTGAAAAATGTGTGCTCGGCCTCGCGCATTACAAGCATACAACAGCTCTATATGATTCTGCGATACTCTATATGTATCTATATGTAGTAATTATGTACTTGTTGTTATCATGCAAGTTGGAAATCGCACACCACGATTCCCCAAAGAGCTTACACGATCCACTCGTGCCTCTTGGATCTGGCACAAGCCGTAAAGTTTCATACTGTCCCGTAGCGACGCAGCGGTGAGCCTGGGACCTTACAGCTATACCATCATTATATAATCACCACCATGCCACTACGCAATCAATCTGGGAAATGTCAGCACAACTCAGCACAGGCAAGTGAGCCTATGGTATGATGCTCAAAAGCGGCATGAAACAAAACAAAGTTTCGAAAGAGTTTGTACGTGTGACTGTGCCAATGCCGCCCTTAATGCTCCTCTGCTCTCTTCATTCGTTTTGGATTTGACAGGTGGCAGTAGTGAGGATGCGGTTTGCAGTCTGCCCAACGACAGATCACACCCAGCAAGCTCCATGGTGCTGAAAGGGAAAACGAGCTCCAACTACAAAAAGGGTCTAACTGCAAAAAGGGGTCATGTCTAGAACATGCCCATATCATTTCATCACTGATATCACCTGCAACGGTCTCCTCACTCATGCAGATCATGCAGGATGTTGGGCGATGTTGGGCGCACTGGCCTTCTCTCACCATCAGCCCGCTGTCCTTCAATCCGATCGTCGGGACATCATTAGTTGGATTCCTTCCTTTGCGCTGTGGGTGATTGTGACGTAGGGTGTAGGAACCGGGGCGTCTCCTCCAACCCTCAGTCTGAAGTTCTTCACCAGGAAGGCCAGCAAATAGACGCCCTCTACATAGGCAAGCCTTTTCCCAATGCAAGTCCTGCCGCCGAAGCCAAAAGGCATGTGCATCTCCGGATAGCCCTTTTCCATCCTTTCAGGAGAAAAACTCATGACATCTGGTCCCCAAATCTCCTCACTGTGCGTCAGCATGCAGTGGGAAATGGTGACAATGCTGCCAGCAGGCAGCTTGTACTTTCCTCCCAAGGTAGTGTCAACCTCTGCCTGCCGACCAAAATGGATAACGGTTGGGTGGAAGCGCAATGCTTCCTGCCAAACCATCCACGTGTAGGGCAGCAAGCTCTGAACGTTTGTCAGGGGAAGGGTGTCCAGGTCCACGGCAGATGTTTCCGCCAGAATCTTCTCTTGGACCTCTGGATGGCGAGCAACCTCATAGAGAGCCCATGATGTGGTGTAGCCTGTGGTTTCATGACCTGCCTCAAGGAGTGTCAGAATTCTTACTCATCTTTCTGTCACCCTCGTGTGCATCCTGAAGGGCCTTCAGCATGTTCAACTTGGAACCTTCCTGCTTTCCAGAGCTCAAAACCTCATCGATCCGCTTGTTCAAGTCGCGCATTGTCCTCCACCAGCGCATGAAACGGTGGGGCAAATACCTCAGCAGCTTTGGCTCGCCAGTGCGCTGTTGAGTCTCGAGAAACAGGACCATCGAAGCTTCCAGAAACCTCTGCAAGATGAGTCAACACCCTCAAAAGATCTCCAAAGATCCCAAAAGACTCAGTGAAGGGACAGGGTTTGCCAAAACATTGCCTGGGGGCAAGCTTCGAAAAGTAAGACATCAAAATCAGCAAGCAGAAGCAAACGACCGTGCACGGTGCTCAGAAAAAGTCAAGGAACTTCAGCTCGTTTGCAGCCTCTGCTTTGCTTAATGCCCGAGGGTGCCCCTCTGGTAGGTATGTCATCAAAGCATTGGAATTGAAGCCGAAGCCAATGCTGCCGATGACATCCAGGGTTGCAAGCTTCAAGCAATGTTGAATGTCACACTCCGCCTCTGAACTCTTTGTATCCTTGATCCTTTCGTTCAGAATGAATCGCAGCAGGTCGGCCTTTTCCTGAACCTGCTCGGAATAGCCTAGCAAGAATTTGTCACTAAACAAGGGCGCAACCAAACGGCGATGGAATGCCCACTGAGACTGGGGTCCTTCCGATCTCAAGGACAGCAAGCCCAGGGGGATAGTAGTGTCAAATACCATGCCAGTTGGCCGTGAATGAAAGATGTCCTTTTTGCTTTGAATCTCTGCAATGATGGTTGGATCACAAGTATGCAAGAAGAACTCGTGGTTTGGGAAGAGCCACTTGGGCAATCGGACACCCCAAGTGGACCCAAGCTCCTTGTAGAGTTGCCGGTTAGCGGCCAGGGTTTTGTCAGGTGTATTTAGCATCGCCAAAGTTTCCAAACCACCAAAGATGGCTGAAGTCTCCTTAGGCTGGGGAGTATCAGCGAAGAAAGCCCGCCGCTGCCGGCTCATTCGCAAGAGGTAAGCATAGATTGCAGCTGGCGTGAGCACGGCTGCACCCGCCACGCACCAATTGGGAACATCCACGCCGGCAACCTTGGGCATCTTGGCAGCGCGGGTCCAACTTGTGATTCGATTAGTGAGCCAAAATGCCTGACGAAACCACGGTGTATCAGCTGATATGTCATTGTGTCAACATGGCGAATGCCTGCGCATGCCACCCTGCCAAAGACTTCAGCTCTGCACAACTGCCAAAGCAAACCAAAGCCCTTTGCTCTTGGGGCCGTGACAGGTTCGGGATCAAAGCCCTGACCCTCACCTGCATTGGCAGCAGAATTGAATGAGTGGTAATTTAGTTCAGAACTTCTGGGCCTGGCGTATTGAATAGCACACTCTTGCTCTTGTTGAAACAATGCGGGCTCCAGTAACCTTTGCATCCACTATTTATGTCTAAACCCTTGCCATATTTCAAAGGCGAGTGCCACCTGGATTCACATTGCATTGAACCACCAAAGGCACAATCGCATCTATACTTGCTGTCCTTTGTTGGATGGCGACGGAGCATTGATTGGACCTGGGACAGTGTCAGCAAGCGCTGCGCAACCAACAGAGGCTGCCATGGGCAAGAACCATCACCGCTATTCAGCACACTTGCTTCAGTCTGTGACATGGTCTGTTGCTTAAAGATGTTTAAAGAAAGCTATATATCTTTCATCAGGTTTCCACGTTTTTTTCGAGACATCGTCACTGACCACGATTCTCTTTGCATTCAACAGGTGGCAGTCTTGAGCATGCGGGGTGCCGCCCAAAAGCACATCACCCCCGGCAAACTCGAAAGGGATGCTAAAAGGCTGAAAGGGAAATCATGGGAAATCCATATCGAACTACGAAAAGGGGCAATGTCTACAACATGCCAATATTTCCGATGTTGCAAAAGCCTCCTCAGACTCAGGCACAATGGAAAGCAACTATCGTTTGGACATCAGCAAATGGATTCCTTCACAAGAATGCATGGTGATCGTAACCCTGGGCGTAGGAACTGGGTCTTCTCCTCCAACCCTCAGTTTGAAGTTCTTCACCAGGAAGGCCAGCAAATAGACACCCTCCACATAGGCAAGCCTTTTCCCAATGCAAGTCCTGCCGCCGAAACCAAAAGGCATGTGCATCTCCGGATAGCCCTTTTCCATCCTTTCAGGAGAAAAGCTCATGGCATCTGGTCCCCAAATCTCCTCACTATGGGCCAGCATGAGTTGAGAAATCGTGACGATACTGCCAGCAGGCAGCTTGTACTTTCCTCCCAAGGTTGTATCAACCTCTGCCTGCCGATAGTGGATTGTGACAGTTGGGTGCAAACGCAATGCTTCCTGCCAAACCATCCACGTGTAGGGCAGCAAGCTCTGAACGTTTGTCAGGGGAAGGGTGTCCAGGTCCACGGCAGATGTTTCCGCCAGAATCTTCTCTTGGACCTCTGGATGGCGAGCAACCTCATAGAGAGCCCATGATGTGGTGTAGCCTGTGGTCTCATGGCCGGCAATAAGGAGTGATAAAATTTCATCTGTTACCTCTGCCTTACTCATCTTTCTGTCACCCTCGTGTGCATCCTGAAGGGCCTTCAGCATGTTCAACTTGGAGCTGTCCTACTTTCCAGAGCTCCACACATCATTGACTAACTTGTCCATGTCACCCTTTGCCTTTCTCCAGCACATGAATCGCCGGGGCAAATATTTCAGGATCAGTGGCTCAGAACTGCGCCTTTGCGTCTCGGACATCAGGATCTCGGTAGCTTCGACAAACCTGCGCAGTGGTCAAGCACCCACTCTGAGGAGAATGAGGATTTTCATCTTTACTTTACAGTAACAAGATTCCATAGATTTCAAGTTTCAAGTGTCAAAAATGAGAGGAAGAAAGATGAAGAAAAATTAAGGAAGAGGAAGAAAGAATGAGAAAGGGCAAATGGAAGCCAAAACAGTACATCAACCCTCTCACCCATCAAACTCATCACAACTCAATTTCAAACAGAGTCTTGCCAACCATCGAGTTCAGGAACTTCAGCTCGTTTGCAGCCTCTGCTTTGCTTAATGCCCGAGGGTGCCCCTCTGGTAGGTATGTCATCAAAGCATTGGAATTGAAGCCGAAGCCAATGCTGCCGATGACATCCAGGGTTGCAAGCTTCAAGCAATGTTGAATGTCACACTCCGCCTCTGAACTCTTCGTATCCTTGATCCTTTCGTTCAGAATGAATCGCAGCAAGTCGGCCTTTTCCTGAATTTGTCCAGAGTAGCCCAGCAAGAACTTGTCACTGAACAAGGGCGCAACCAAACGGCGATGGAATGCCCACTGAGACTGGGGTCCTTCCGATCTCAATGCAAGCAAACCCAGGGGGATAGTGTTGTCAAATAGCATGTCTCCTGGCCGTGAGTGGAATATGTCCTTCTTGGACTGAATCTCTGCAATGATGGTTGGATCACAAGTTTGAAAGAAGAACTCTGTCTTTGGAAAAGGGAGCCGAACCCCCCAAGTGAGCCCCAATTCCTTGAAGAGTTGCTTCGCTTTGGGTATGGCCTTTTCAGGCTCATTTATCTCCATCAACGTTGCAAGGCCCCCAAAGATCGCTGAAGTCTCCTTAGGCTGGGGAGTGTCAGCGAAGAAAGCCCGCCGCTGCCGGCTCATTCGCAAGAGGTAAGCATAGATTGCAGCTGGCGTGAGCACGGCTGCACCCGCCACGCACCAATTGGGAACATCCACGCCGGCAACCTTGGGCATCTTGGCAGCGCGGGTCCAACTTGTGATTCGATTAGTGAGCCGAAATGCCTCACGAAATCGCAGCTGACTGTAGCATATGTAGCATGGAGATGCCAAGATTATCACCAAGCACCTGCCCCAGCACAAACACTACACTTTCTAGTTGTGTGGCAAGTGCACTGGGCGTCTGCAAAATCAAAATGACATCAAAATGATTCAAAATGCATCAAATTGTTTCCAAAATCGTGAAGTCAGCGTAGTCATGCGTAGTCAGCATGCTAGTGTCACATCCAAAGACTTCACACTAGCTGCGCAAAAACTGCTTGCTGGGGCGCTGGCAGGTTCTGCATGGACGCCTTCATTGCTGCCGGCTGCACAGGATGCACGTTACAAACAATACAGTATCTCAATGATACACGATACTGGTTGAGCTCATGTCGCCCCCAATAAAGATCACACAGAACCATTTTGAGCAGTTTCACTGGACAAAACTGATCATCAGCCAACCTCCAATGAGGGAGCATGTCCTTTGCCACTTGGAAAATCAGGCAACTCTGCAACCCCGCCCCAACTGCTATGAGAACAACGTCTTGAGCCGAATCACATGTGGACGCGTACATCATAATGCTGCAGAAGGCGGGCAAACATCATTGTACCAAGTAGTCCAAAACATCCAAAGATCACTCCTGGCCGCTGTTCCCCAACATCCGTGATTCGTGACGTGAATCATTCAGAATTGAGAATAGGGCGACCATGTATCAACAAGGTCATTGACTCCAAGTGAGGCTGGGATCGGGCCAACCATTTTCGAGCTGACTAATGTACTGGGAGAAATCCTCTAGCAAGATTTAGCAAGGGCTGTAGCTGATGCAGGTCAATGCTATTAGCTATATGATGCTTATGACCACCACTTTGAAACAGCACTTGCAGTGCTAAGCATTGCATGCGGGTTACAGCCTTTGCAGACAGCAGCTAAGCTGCACCTGGTTTCGTGGCCCTCTCGGCCCTGTTGGGCCGACATGCCTCCGCTCACAGGATTTGGGTTCCTGCAGCCGGGCTGATTCTTACTGGATCTTCACTTCAAACTACAGCCACCTTTGTTGCAATGTGCGCCTGTCTGCATGGGTATCTTCAAACTGCCCCATCAGTACTCACTGCTCACTGATCTCGGTACTTCCTGGCAAACCAATTCAGCAATGGGTCAACTGAGCGGTGAAATTGTTGCCGAAAGATTCGATCTACAGCAAAATCGTGCCCTTCGGGCCGTCGGGCTCTTTAAGGCACACCGTGCACGTCTTCCAGTCTCAACAATGCTCAGCTCCAGACTTCTCCAAGTAGAGGCCAACGCCGACACCCACAGCCTTGCAGTCACCATTCTGCCATGGATAGCTTAGCTTAAAGTGGCATATGGGGTGATTCCAATATTCGAATATTCCAATATTCTCTCTCTCTCTCTCTCTCTCTTTCCCTCTCCGCCCGCCAAACTGCAGGATCAAATTTTGGACCAACTTCACATTGTTCCAACCCAATATCCCAATTATAATCAATTATATCCAATAATCCCAGGCTAATTCTATACAATCTCCACGGCTGCTGTTGACTTTGGTGGTGAGTGTTCCGCCTCTGGGCTTCCCCGCTCCACCCCAGGGACCCGCCACCAGGGCACCACAAGCAGCGCCTGCTAGGCCACCTTGCCGAGGGTGTATTGCATTATACTGTAATATAGTATACGATATGATATTATATCATATTATATTAAACTATATTGTATTATCATATGCATGTAAGCTGCACACACACACACACATATATATATATATGCATAGATATATGTATAATTATGTATATATATATATATCAATTATGTGTTTTTTTATTTATATATATATATAAATATATATATATATAAAGATATATATCATATATATATATTATAATATAATTATATATATATATTTATGTTATATATAATGTAATATATATATAATTATATATTATACACACATTGGTGGCGCTCTCCGCCTAGTGTCACTGGCAAAGGCGATCTCTTCATGTTGTCCTTAGATCAGCAGGGCAAGGGAGCCGCTTGTACACCCGTCAAGTGGCAAAGCTCCACATGTAAAACCTGACTGTGATGACAGTTTTACTTGACCACCAAAACAAATCCCAATTCAGATGATGGCTCGATCGCCAATAATTTGAACATATTTGAACCATTTGCCAGTAGAACCTGGATGAACCTGGCAGGTAAAGATCTAACGGCCCTACTTCATTCGCATTCCGTTGTGAAATGCTCCACTGATCCCACCATCGGTGCTGATCAACACCATTGCCATGGTCCCCTGCAAAATACCGTTCCACCGCAGTCTTGGGCTCCATATCTCCTGACATTTGGGGTGTCTTTTTCGGGTAAACCATGGCAACATCCAGTGAGAATCCCTAATTTTCCCTCAACTGGGTGGTATAAACATGTGTAGGCCATCCCCCATCTTAGGATTGCAGGCAAATTGCAGGACTACTCAGTGAGTTTTGCCACATTCACTTTGGTAGCTCATGTTGAAACCAGCCACCCGCCCTCCTGGAAGCTGCCCTCGCTGTGTGGATGTGGCTGGCTCATACCTGGTGCCAAGCAGGGTGCCAGGTGTTCAGCTGGCAGGGCCTTGTCTCCAGTGGTTGCCATTAGTTGCCATCACCAGAGCTTTCAACTGTCGCAACACTATTCCCAACTGGGCGGTTGCACGGCTGAATGTTGGGCAGTCCGTAGTCTGACGCCATGCTGACCTGGTGCGGGCGGGAGATGGCGGGAGATTCGGTACTTGCGTTCGCATGTTGTAGTCTCACCTCTCTTCATTTTCATCCTGGGCAACTGACGACACGCTAAGTTGTTGGTCCTGTCTACTTGAGCTGTTTGAACCCTCTTATGGCAACGGGATGGCGAAATGGCAGAGTTGATGCCAAAAAAAAAACACTGAAGTCACTCATTGTCATCAGACTTGGAGAAAATTGTGCTGCCATGAGTGGCCCAAATTCCATGCATTGAAATACCAAGCCCAGTCCAAAGACAGCGAAGATCCAGCGGCATCTTTTTAGATGAAATTGATTGGGCGTTATTGCCAAGGTTCAGCCAACTCGCCACACTATCCAGCACAGCTGTCATACATTTCTTTGGGAGGTGTGGTGGGCAATATTGGCAACATCGGTGCCGTATGGTATGGTGCCCTGCTTTTCACAGCTGCTTTGCTGATTAGACCAGCCGAGGGCCATTGAAACGCTGCTTCACTTCGCCAAGGGCTTATCAAGTGCCAGTGCAGTTAGTTTCATTGCGATATGTTGCGGTTGACACTGGCCTTGACTGGCTTAGCTTCGGTTTCAATATATGACAAAGCATTATTAATTAGGCGGCTTGCATTAGATGTCACTGTATTGCTGTACTACAACAATGACATTAATCCAGTGACTTTGGCATACACCTGTGGCAAACACAAAATAGCACTTATGATTTGACCGTGCAGCCTGTCTCAAGTCGCCGTCTACTCATACAATTCGTGTGGCCATGTACCAAATGCCAATAGCAATGACCTACCGATGCATATATACAATCTGTAAAGTGTGCTCTTCCTGAAGGGCAATCTTCTCAATTCTAATATTTTAATCTAACGCTCTGTACATTGTGAGAAGGGCTACGACATAAATGGCAAGCACTACAAGTGTCCAGGTGAATAAAACGAAACAAAGGGCTCCAATTGCATCTTGCACTTCAATTTTAGGGAGGGTATGTAATTACTGAACAAAACCCGTTCATGATCTTCATGTAAAATTGAGCACAATCCACTTCCACGTGATTTTGGTGCTCATACTGAGCTACTCACATTACCTTGGTATCAAGTCAATTTTCTTGACATGGGAGATTACATTTTAAAAGGAAAAACTGACAAACCATTTCGAAGCAAATAATTATCGGGTTTCATTTCTTTCACAGTGTCAGAAAGTGGAAGCAAATGAGTTGCCAATTGTGAACCCTGTTGTAGTGAGTACATGCTCATAGTGCATAAACCATTAACTTCCCATGCTTGGCATGCTGCATTGACCGTGCTTTCGCATGTTTTAGAAAGCTACACTGCTAGACATCATCGCATTCTCCAGTCACTTTACCTCACAAAAACGGGGTCGAAGCACGTTAAGCACTATTTAAGTAGCACGATGCTGAGTTCTGTTCCGCATGGCAATAAACATCTCTCAAAACCTACAGGGAAACGACAATGTCACGCCTAAGTCATGCCTAGCGTGTTTTTGAATGGCATTTACCATTGTAAACGCTGCATCCAAGAAGTCATGCCTAAGTCATGCCTAAATGCTTTTCTGCATGGAACGCTGTCCTCAATAAAAGTGTAAACATGCATTTCAGACATTAAAAAGCATGAAACACAATGGAACGCGACTGCTGAAAATATTGCTTTTCTACTCTCTTATAATGTCATTCTCGTGTGCAACCTGCATGTCAACGCTGGGATTCTGCATCATTATTTTGTACTACAAAGTTTGCACAAAGTACTTCCCAGTACTACTTTCTACTACAAAGCTTGCACAAAGCACTTCCCAGTACTACTTTGTACTGCAAGCTTGCTCAAAGCACTTCCCAGTACTACTTTGTACTACAAAGCTTGCACAAAGTACTTCCCAGTACTACTTTGTACTACAAAGCTTGCACAAAGCACTTCCCAGTACTATTTGTACTAGAATCTTGCACCAAAAGCACTTCCGTACTACTTGCACTAACAAAGTTGTGACACAAACTACTTCCCAGCATTACTTTGGTACTACAAAGCTGCACAACGCACGTTCCGTACTACTTTGCACTACAAAGCTTGCACACAGGACTCCCAGACTACTGTGTAATACAAAAGCTTGCAACAAAACATTCCCAGTAGTATTTTGTACTACAAAGCTTGCACAAAGCACTTCCCAGTACTACTTTGTACTACAAAGCTTGCACAAACTACTTCCCTGTACTACTTTGTACT